CGAATATAAGTGCATACTAAGGTCTTAGAGGTGCATTCGTTTGTGTTATCCCATGAGAAGAAAATGGATTAACGTCTATGTTTAAATTGAAATGGCAATGATACGACATAATCAGTTTTTTCGCAAAGTGATAGATTTTCGATATCGTCTGTACAAGCGAATTAAGTTTAGAAATCTCCTATTACTTTTCCTGATTTACAACACGTAGCGTTACCGTCCTTTTGCGGCAATGTCTTGAAGTGATGACAGAACATTTTTAAACTAACATATTGTGTTTGTCTTTGCAAACTACCATTGATTTGCATATGTGAACAGAACATTGATCAGCAGGCAGTACGGACAAACTGACGATCCTAGAAACAGGTCAGATTTGTTTTCAGCAGTTGAATACCTCTGCACCTCTAGATTAAACGAGAATAGCAAAAACATCGTGAATTGATGATAGGATATATTTTATATAGAAAGAGTGGATATCTAGGACGGATAAGGATCGTCTCGCGGAATTTAGTTGCATCGCTGATCTACAGATAGCAGTTTGTCTTGCATAGCTTCTTAATGGCAACTTTAGTGAGTTACAGTTTTATGTTATAGTTCAAGTGTGTCAAGACAGTTTGAAGTAGAGGTCGAATCCTTAAGTAATTTAGTATATGTTGAATCTATAGCACCAGAGGATAAAAATTTTAGGCCATGTTTTAGCGTAATGAATTACCTGAGAACTGGTAGATGGAAGCTGCATTTCGATTAGCACCATGGGCCATTCTTACTACTGACTAAACGTGAGATACATGCATTGAACACGATGTTACTCAAAAAGTAGGCCATCATATCCTTGACACAGATCATTTACTGGACGACCTTTGATTGCTTGACCTACATTAGTCTTCGTAAGTTGGCATATCGCTACAAAAGACAACGGAATGAAGTTCTAAACGCACAGCCATGACATCGTTTGTATTACTGCGGTCTTACAACCTGCTGATTTTGGTCTCCCTGCTTGTTTGGACGTATTACCTCGGCAGCGTGGTGTACAAATCTAATCCATTTCGATCTTTTGTACCCTTAGAACGAAAGGGCGTAGCGACCATTTTAGGCTGGACGTCGCTTTTTGAAGATTCGATCGAAAGCATTTTCGGTTCTTCACTTGCTCACTGTCCGCTAGTGGACTGCGTGGTGACCAACAACAGGACTATGCTGAATAAAAGCCATGCAGTATTTTTCCACGAACGCGACTTCAGCAGATCAGACCTTCCCCATGACCGCTTTCCTTGGCAGTACTTCGTCATCGCCAACTGGGAAGCTCCGCCATACTTGGGTAGAACAACGTCTTCAATTGTTGACAACTACTTTAACCTCACCGTAACATACCGACGTTCCTCTGATATTTTCATTCCGTTTTTCTCGTTCGACGAATCCCATGACACCGGAAAGCAGCTGCAAACGGACGATGCTCTCATGAAAATGGCCAAACACAAAACGAAATTCGTCGCTTGGTTCGTCAGCAACTGTAACACCCCAAGCAAACGCGAATATTACGTAAAGGAACTTCAGAAGCATATCCCTGTTGATATCTATGGAAAATGTGGACCTCTGCACTGCCCCCGCTACAGCGAGAATTGTTCACAATTACTGAAAGACGACTATAGATTTTACCTCGCCTTCGAAAATGCGATTTGTCTGGATTACACAACCGAAAAGGCACTTACGGCGCTGAGCAATGACGTCGTTCCGATTGTTCTTAGCCGGTCGGTCGCTCGAGCTCTGCTTCAGGACAATAGCTTCATCGCTGTGGACGACTTCGCGAGTCCAAAACTCCTTGCTGAGTTCCTATACAAGTTGGCTGAGAACCCTTCAGAATACATCAAGTTTTTCCGGTTCAAAAGGAAATATACAGCCACAAAACATGAACTCATTATTAAGTCTGTCTGTGAAATATGTCAACTGATTTCGAACCCTCAGAGGTCATCGATTCCTCGCTACACGAAAAATTTTCAAGAATGGTTCCTACGTGACAGCAATTGCTCCTCCGTTGCCCTGCCAAACGACACTTCACTTCACTCACAATAGAATGTATGCTTTGGTCGACCTGACATTGGCATGGATCTTGTGAATTTATGAACATTTTGCAAAGAATCTTATGTTTATTTTCTCTTCTATCTATTTTATTCGTCTCTCTATATTTTTCTCTGTTTATCTATTGTCTTGTGTGCAAAATGGATAAATGTATTCAGACTATATTGATACCCTAGTCTAGAAAAATTGCATATTTGGGTCACATGTCAACTCTTTCGTGAATTTCTTCTTTGCAGCAGAATAGAAAGCTACTTCTCATACAGTTAAGCCGAAGACGATTCCGGCATTGTACTAATAACCTGTACCTAATCATTGCGCATTCGCTCTTCAATTCTTTCAACGACACGCCCGCTTTAACGCGGTTTTGTCAACTTGTTGAACGTCTTCCATACTGCAGCCTGCCATCAAGCTCTATTCATTGTGCCAAAGGGGCTACTGTCCTATCGTGTACCATACACCTCCATCGCTAAGATACAGGATTTAAGAAATGTTGCGTTCCCTGATATCTACCAAAATTTTGAAGCCCAGGCCGGACTCCATTAACCTCGTGATATTGTGTTGTATATAGCTATTATTTACATCAGCCAAATTTTAAGGCAATCGACTAGTTCCAACTCGTAGACACAATTCGTGCGCACAAGAAAACATATATGAACGAATATATTTCGTTATATCAATATGCATGCATTATTTTGATCTTTTGCTTATTCATTAATATTTATTGCTTGTAATCGCTTTATCAATGTACCGAAAAACATTACAACATTTACATATCATAAAGTGGTCTATCCGTGCAAATACCAAGGACAGTCATCGACCTTCCGTTGATAGTACATTGGTCAGTCGAACCTCTTCAAGCTGCATGTGTTTCAGTGTTATTCGCCGGTGATCTCGTGATCTCTAGTGTATCTTGTGATGTTTCGTCTGCCAAGTCTTAGAAACACTTTTTCCAGATTTCTGACGTTCTTGCGCATCATGTTTCATCAGGTTGGAACAAACTAAAAGGAAACAGAATTCTGCACTCCGGTTAGTTCAAGAAAATAATCTCAGCACCAAAGAAACGTAGAAAAACAAGCAACATGCAGTTACACTAATTACAGTTTCTAATTATACTAATGCTATAACACATTTGTCTGATGTCAGCACGGTAATTCCATATCTGGTGCTTGATTATAGCAAAGTCTTATAGATCAACGGGTGGCAAACTGGCGATTGATGCCCACCTTGGAGAGGTATAGGTTCTTTCAGAACTTTGCGCGGGTCAGACTCATCAGATTGCAGGATGTAGCCCTAGCTCCTATTTCGCTTTCGCATTCGGAATCCTCTGCATTAGGCGTATGTCAATACCATAGCTTACAAGTTTTTCGTGCTAACAGTAGTTTCTGATAGTGTAAATTTTGCACTCTTCCATAAACCTGTCCCGTCTCTCTTCGCGCAATGTGGTCTATGCGCTTCTCATTTTACCTTCGGTCTTCAGTTGGGCTTTTTTTACCTATTATCTGCCTTTTTCAATGGCTGATGCGTTTGCTTATAGATGACTTTGCTCTGCGATTAGCTGTTCTCGATAGCATTGAGAAAATAATTCACATGTATCACCTCGCTGATGTTCGTTTTAAGGTTCAGCTACTCCACGGGAATCTCCGGACTAAACCATCGCCCGTCATATATCGGTGATCATTGAGCTCTCTTCATCCGTCTTTTTTTCACAACAACGATCGCAACCGTAGAAACTAAAAACAGGTGATCTGACCCGATGTTCTGTTTTATAGCCGACTGGCAGTTGATTCCTGTCCGTCAGCACATCGTCTGGCCACTGCTTTCGCTGCCGTCCTTCGCACGTTTTCGTACAGCATTCGAGTTGAAGGCTTTGTGCTTCCTTGACACCACTTGAACGCATCTTTCTTCTCGTTGAAAGCCATTTGAACTTCTGCTTTCTGCCAAGAAATTCGTTTCTGACTCTAAAGCAGCAGCACAGCGCGTTGAATTTTGCAGCAGCCTCGAGTATGCCGGTTTTTATGAGCTGCCACACGGTTTCAACATCAGTTGTCATCACTAGGATCTGTTGAAACCGTCCTGCGATGTTGTTTCCAAATTTCGCTTTAGGATCCACAGAAGACTATGTTTCCCATTTGATTCTCTGGTTGCTTCTGCCACCGGATCTTTGTATGGTACTCCATTTCTTACAGTGCAGCATGCCAACAACAAGGTGACTATCGGTTAATAGCTCTGCGCTTCCCTTGACGCGAACATCCATTACAAAAGTCCAAAGCCAGACGATTATCAGACGGATTATCGATTTAACTGACTATTTTATGACTTTATTCATATAACCGATTTAAAAAGCAACACCAGCATATAACATAATTGTTGCGACATTACTAATGCACCTATAGAACGACCACAAATCGAGCTAGGACTTCTAAAATTGGTGAATGAAGAAATTGGTGAACAAAGAAATATCATTGCGATCTTACCAAACGGTTGAAAAGTTTGCAAGGTGCTTTAAAAGTTAAGGCACAACACAATATCACTACTCTAATAATAATTAGCGATCCATAGTATGACGTGAATTAAAGTTTATCTCATTCGCAAAATCTTATCTTGGTAGAGGTACGTGGAATTCGAATCCGCTAATTGCTAGGGATTTTGGGGCATGTAATAGAACTTCATTAGAAAGGAAATCTTTATTTCATGACAATAATACCGATTATAATCAGAAGTGACAGAACAGTCTTAGCGACTAGCATTAGAACAGTTTGTATCTAATATTCAATGGACAAAATATGACTACCAATAGAGCAAAACGTTGGTCGCTTATCGTTCGAAAATAGATCCGAAAATACCAACCATCCGGTCAAGACAGCTGGTATAAATTCTGTTGTCGTAATCTTCCATCTGGGGTACAATTCTGCTTTGACGTTCCTTAATGCGACCGCACGAATATGACAGCTTCCGTCTGTTCATCATGACCTGGGAATTCTTGATCACCGCCCTATTTTTCTTGCATCTCTCTGACACACAAATGTTGTCCTGTCTTCAGGAGGCTCGTAACCTTAGTAGACTACATCGACGCTCTAGCGGGTCAAAAGAGGTGTCCCAATTTAGCGCTGTGATCAGCGTCGCATATTAACTTTCAGAATGAATCGAAGATCGCTGCAAAGTGGACGGTTGCGATATGATCCGCAGACTTCGTTGAACGACCAGCACAGGCGCGACACATTTATGGCGATGACCAACTGCTCTATCTTCGAAGACACTGTTTCACCGAATGTAGGGACTTTTCGTCGTCTAGTGCTAGATTTCTGCATTACATCAGTTCAGTTCAGATGCATTTAAAACAGTGGTTTCGTGAAGACAAGTCATGCATCGAGATTCTTCAGGGCAAAAATAATGGTAACATCATGCAACACAGCCGCAAATCAATTATGCGATGAAACAATCGATGGCCATCAAAATTGTCCATTCGTTCATGAGCATGTGTATATTCTTATTTGAAGATTATTCATGTTCACCAAGAGATACAAAAATCTAAAATTGTATCGATATTCATTGTACAGTTAGTCGATGAAGTTGAAATCACAACTTTCTCTACTGAGAGATTAAAACATGCCCCAATTTTAACATGCGCGAACTATCCTGAAAAGGGTATTAAAAAATTCAAGTTATGAAAATTTTACTTAACGGTAGGTTATGTTACTAGCAAGCCACTGAAGAGAGAAAAATTAGAAGTCGATGAAGGTGAGGTCACAGAAACGATTGACT